GCGTCTCTCTTCTCTATCCTCCTCCTCGGTCGCCCACTCTGCCCAGGGCCCCTGGCAGAACTCACCAGGGAGTGTCCATCTGACCAGCGGAAGTCCCCTTCGATGCTCCTGTCGTTCAGGCCGATCCACTGGTAGTTTTGAGCATTGTCTGCGGAGAGGACACGGGTGTTGGGGGTGGAAACACCCTGGGGATGTCTCAGACACTGGAGCTCACAGAGGCGGAGGGGACAGGGGGGTGGCAGGAGGGGGGGGTGCGCTCCAAGGAGCACGCCACCCACGCGCTTCTGAGGTCCGGACAGGGGCACATGCGTGATGGGAGTGCCTGCGCCCACTGCCCCCAGCTGGCACGGGCTGGTGACAGCCACGGGGTTACTCTGGGGCTGACATTTTATTATTATATATTTTATTGATTTTTTACAGAGAGGAAGGGAGAGGGATAGAGAGCTAGAAACATCGATGAGAGAGACACATCGATCAGCTGCCTCCTGCACACTCCCTACTGGGGATGTGCCCGCAACCCAGGTACATGCCCTTGACCGGAATCGCACCTGGGACCCTTCAGTCCGCAGGCCGATGCTCTATCCACTGAGCCACAACGACCAGGGCAGGGGGCTCATTCTGATAGATGCTGGGCTGTCCTGGGTGCAGCAGGAGCCACTGGCCCCAAAGACTCCTCTCTTCTCTCTCAGGCTGGGGGAAGCCCTTCCCTCCCGCCCTCCCTGGCCCACCCCTGCAGCCTGGCCGGGTTCCAGTCTGCCCGCTTCCGGTTCCCCTCTGGCCCAGCCCAGCCCAGCCCTGAGACCCCACCGCACTCACTGTTGACGAACTCCTGCTCCTCGGGGGTGAGGATGCTGCTCAGGTGGGACTGGTGCTTCCGGCAGCGGCTCTCGGCATCCACCCAGCTCTCGCGCTCCGGGAAGTGGCGGTAGCAGTGGCCCTGGAACTTGGTCCAGCCCTCCTCGCACAGCGCCTGGTCTGCAACACAGGTGGGTGGGGGGGAGAGTGGCTTGACGGGAGGGGCCAAGGCTGCCAGCCTCGTGGCACGGACTCCTGTGTTGGCCCTGCCTTCCACGTCACCCCGTTCAAGGAGGGGGAGGCCCACTGAATGGGGCTCAGGGTGGAAGTCAGGGAGGCCTGGCCCTGGCCCCCGGGCCCTGCGTGCAGGTTCCCACCCTCCGAAAAAAGCCCGGGATCCTTCCCTCTTTCGCCCTCCCTCCACCTCCCCAGCTTCTCTCCTGTCTCTGCCTGCTCTGGGGGAGGTGGGGAGGTGGGCAGCGGGAAGCTTTGAGACTCTGAGGGTCTCTAAGGGGGAGAAGGGGTTGGGGGAGGGTGTGAAGGCGGCAGCAGCAGGAGGCAGAGCTGGGGGCAGGAAGGACCCTGGGGTGGGGACAGAGGAGCAGAAATAAGTCTGCTTTGGGTCCAAAGAGGACGCAGAGCTGCAAGTCCGTCCGTCCATCTGTCCGTCCGTCAGAGCTGGCTCTAGCTCAGTGCACCGTGTCTCCCTCTTAAAGGGCCAAGCAGCCAAGACGGGGGTCCTGGCTTTTGATTTTCTCTCTCGGTGGCAGGTGAGGAGCGGGGAGGAGCGTCCCTCCCCACAAAGCTCTATGGGTCACAGGTTCTGAGTTCTGGAGGAGGGGGGCATGGGGCTCCTGGTGAGGGAGTGGAGCTCCCGGGGCAGCCTGGGGGACGGACAGGCCGAGGGGCGGGGGCACTGATGCTGGCTCTCAGGCATGGGTGGGAGGGCCCTGATGTGTGTGTCCTCCCAATTCTGCCTCCGGCCATCACAGTGGCAGCTCGCAATGGGCCCGGGTGGGAGCATTCTCCCTTGGAAACGGGCGGCTGCTGCATGTGAGGGCTCCCCGCTGTTAAACATTTGCGGGCACAGCGCTGGGCGGAGGGAATTCCCAGACCCCTTCGTCCCTTCTGCCAGGGGGCCTCCCAGGGAGAGAGGACCAGTTCCGAGGGGAAGGAGACTCGGGCTGGAGGGGTGCAGGTGTGGCCAATGGGAGGAGCGGGGAGGCCTCAGAGCTGGTGCGGCACCCAGGCCACCCCAGGGCTGGCTGTGCGGTCCATTCTTGGGCCCCCTCAGTGTCTGAGGGCCCAGCAGGAGCAGGCAGCTGCGGGAGAGGCAGGGCCATGCATGCAAGATGGAGGCCTGGTGGGGGGTGAAGAGGGAGGAGGAAGTAGCCACAGCATTCCAGGGGAGCTGGGAGTGGGAGAAGCAGGGGGACCAGAGCCCAGGCAGGAGGGCCTGGGGGTGGTGTGGGCTCAGGATGGGACGGGAGAGGAGATGCAGCCCTGCTTAGCTGGGTGCCCGCGCCCAGGGCCCAGCTGGGTGGCTCTGGCTCCATCCAATGTCTTGTCAGAGCCCCGCCTCCACGCCCACAGGACACCCCCGCTCCCAGCCTGGCGCCCGAGAGCTGTTGGTCCGTACGGACCTTCCAGACCCTTCTCTCCCATGACAAATATGTTGGCATCCTGTGGAGAAAATCCTTAAACCTCTGTCCTCCCACCCCAGTCAGGACCCCATGCACTGATGTCTTGGGGACTTGGGGTGAGAGTGGAGGATGGGAGGCTGCAGGGAGGAGGAGGAGGAGCACTTGGGCCTTTGCTTGCAGGCGCCTGAAGTTCCCCCGCCAGCCTGTGACCTTGGCAATGCCTCCAGGAACATGTGATCCTCCTGCCTCCCACACTGCTTAGGACCAAAGGGGGACTGCCCAGGACTTCCCACTGCTTTCTGCAAGTTTCTGGGATGTCCAGCCTGGGACTGCATTACAAGTGTTTTTTGCCCAGCTGGCGTGGCTCAGTGGTTGGGCGTTGACCTATGAGCCGGGAGGTTACTGCTCGATTCCTGGTCAAGGGCACATGCCCAGGTTGCGGGCTTAATCCCCAGTAGGGGGCGTGCAGGAGGCAGCCGATCCATGATTCTCTCTCATCATTGATGTTTCTCTCTGTCCAGCCTGGGACTGCATTACAAGTGGTTTTTGCCCAGCGGGTGTGGCTCCGTGGTTGGGCGTCGACCTATGAGCCGGGAGGTTACTGCTCGATTCCCTGGTCAAGGGCACATGCCTGGGTTCGGAGGCAGCTGATCGATGTTTCTCTCTCATCGATGTTTCTAACTCTCTATCCCTTTCTCTTCCTCTCTGTAAAAAAACAATAAAAGATATTTAAAAAAATAAAATTAAATTAAAAAGATGGTTTTAAGCCCTTGAACACTTCCAGTTCTCGATGGGCTGTTGCTCCTAGCAACTGTAATTCTCATCTCCCCCATTCTGAGCTGGGATGGCCCTGAGAGCCAGGACATGGGGCTCCTGGTGAGGGAGCGGGGGGCTTGGCCTGGCATGCACCGCTGCCTGGGAGAGCCTGGCACACAGCTGCCCTGGGAGAGCCTGGCACACAGCTGCCCTGCAGAGCCTGGCTCAGGTGCAGCAGCAGAGGGACAGGCAAGGCCCAAGAGATGAAACTCAGCCCCTGCCCCTTGCACTGGGGCCCTGTTCTCTCTAGCCAGCCCTCCGCCTTGCACGGGGGAGGGAGAAAGGAAGTGTGGGCCCGAGTGGCACTGTCGTGGCATTGTTGTGGCATCGGTCACCGTGGGGAAGAGGAGAGGGTGACATGCAGCCGTCCCTGCTCATGCATGACCGGGGCATGTGGGTGACGCGGGAGCCCTCAGGCAGGCAAACCGCCGCTCTGGCCAGAGAAGAAGGGGAAGGCAGCTTGGCCTGGGAGGCACAGTGGCTAATAAAAATGATGGGTTTAAGACCCTGAACACTTCCAGTTCTCTATGGGCTGTTGCTACTAGCAACTGTAATTCTTATCTCCCCCATTCTGAGCTGGGATGGCCCTGAGAGTGGCTCCCAGTGCCACGGAGGGGCCGCTGAGGTCCCACGGGCCACAAGCAGCAGACGCACGCTCATGCCTGTGCCCACGCGAGGAAGGTCCCTGGCTGTCAACCCGAGTGAGAGTCAGTTACTCCCGCCCACGGCTTCCTTCAAGGCCAACGTGCGGAGTCGGCTCTGTCCCCTTAGTCTGATGCGTGCACCGCCGTGGACGGTGGCATCATCCGTGGGCCTGGAGGCCCTGAGGGGGTTAGCGTTTTATTTACTTATTATTTATTTAAAACATTTTTATTGCTTTCAGAGAGGAAGGGAGAGGGGGAGAGAGAGAGAGAAACATCAACGATGAGAGAGAATCATGGATCGCTGCCTCCAGCACGCCCCACACTGGGGATCGAGCCCACCGCCCAGGCATGTGTCCTGACCAGGAATTGAACCGGGAGGTCACAGTTCGATTCCCGGGCAGCCGATATGATTCCCTCTCACCACTGATGTTTCTCTCTCTCTCTCCCTCTCCCTTCCTCTCTCTGAAATAAAAATACATTAAAATAAAATAAAGGTCACCCAGAGCCACACATTCCAAAGTGCCGGCTGGCCCGGCCTGCATGTCTCTCCTATTCTTAGATCAGCCACTGCCCCGAAGGTGGGACAGCAACCGAAGGAGTGGGGGTGAGTCGGGTGGACTTCTCACTGTGGCTCCCGGGGTGGACTTCTCTCTGGATGGACCGCGGGGGGCCCCGGCCAGGGCCCCGAGCCTGTGGTTAGCAGGGGAGGGTGAGGGAGGAGGAGGAGGAGGGGGTGCAGCGGTTAGCAACATTAGCTGAAGCCGAGACGGCCGGCCGTACCGATCTCACACCGGTCCCCTCGGTAGCTGGGAAGGCATAAGCATGTGAAAGAGTCGATGGCGTCCACGCAGGTGGCTCCATTCACACAAGGGCTTGAGAGGCACTCATCAATGTCTGCAAGAAACCAAGGGCCACCATTAGGACGCCCGCCGGCGGCGACGCGGCTTTGCGAGCACTGCGGCCTCTTTCCGGGTGGCCGGCCCTGCAGTTCTCCTGAGCCCTGGGAGGGGTGGCTGGGTTTCCTGAGAACTGTTGCTGCTGCTGCTGCTGCTGCCGCCGCCATCCTGGAGCTGAGCCGAAGATGCAGCGAGGGGTCTCCTGGATACATGTGGTTCTTAACTGGCAAGCTGAGTGTGGAGCCGATTTCCAAGTGCGTGAGAGAGTTGGTGCTTTGAAAGCCAAATGCCTGTTGGGGAGAGTGAGCGCGGAGTATCTCCGAGATGCCTTCTCTTGAGACTATTTCAAGAAGCCGTGGGGCCCGGCCGGCGTGGCTCAGTGGTTGAGTGTCGACCTATGAACCAGGGGGCCACGGTTCGATTCCCGGTCAGGGCACATGCCCGGGGTTGCGGGCTCGATCTCCAGAGGGGGCGTGCAGGAGGCGGCCGGTCCATGATTCTCTCTCATCATGGATGTTTCTCTCTCTCTCTCCCTTTCCTAAAATTAATAAAAAAAAAGAAGCCATGGGGGTCTGACCCAGCGCTGAGCAAGGATGTTGAAGGTCAAGTTCTTGACGCTTGGCTAAGCGCTTCCTTTTTCCTCGCTTCCTCTGTAGCTGTGCGCCAGGGGCGGAGGGCAAGGCCATGCAACGCTCGAGTGAATAAAAGGTCCGCAGAGTAGGAAACCATGAAAAAACGGCAGGATGGGATGTGTGCGTGGGAACCACGAACATCTGTGGGTTGCGGACACCGTTCTTGTCTTCAGTAAATAAGTTTTTGGAGCATCATCTGAAGATGAAGCCAGCATTGTTCTCTTGGGGGTGGCGGGGGCGGGGAGCCAGAAACCCAGCCCAACCCTCCCCCAGGCAACCTTGTTTGTGTCTAAGGGTTCCAACGTGGACAAATCCAGTGAGTCACAACTTCAGAGGGGGTCCCTCCTGGCCGGTGGGAGACCCGCATTTGAAGCCGGTCGGCGAGGAACTTAGGTGGTCACCCGCCAACACCAGCAGGTGCGACACAGCCAGGTCCCCATCAGCCTCTCCTTCCCATGCCCTCTCTTCCCTTCCGTTCTTCTGGTTCAAGACGTTCTTTCTGACCCCACTTCTTCGCAGGACTTGAATCTGGTACGGCCTTTGCCTTGAGGTTTTCTCCACTGGCCGAGGTGAGCACTGCATCTCCTAATCTCCTCTGTCTGTCTCTTCCTGCTGGTTCTTTCCTGGGCGACTTCCCCTGGGAACATATTGCAAGGGACTGCGAAACTCCTCTGGCCAGGAGATCAATGAAAGTCTGTGATGAATGGGTTCCGCGGGCTCAGGGGGCACCCGGATACGTGGTTTGGCCTCAGTATGGGCGTCCGTGCTCCTACAACCTTCGGGACCTGACGTGTCTGGGGGGGCCTCTACGTGAGCAGGGATTATTAGTTCTCGCCTCTCACAAGGGCAGACGACGCCTGACAGCCAGTCCTCCGGTTAGAAGGCAAACGCACTTTCTTCTGGATCCTTCTCCCTGCCGCCCAGATGAGGGTTGGGTCTGTGCAGTGAATGGGCGGCCTGCGGGCGTCCGCCTCTTCCCGGGAACTTCTTAACTTCACGTCGGGGGGGAGTGCACGCCGCGGACTAGGCACCGACAGTTCCCAGCCTGGAACTGTTCCAAGCAAAACCCAAATGCATGAGGGACGGATTGCAATCCCGCATGCACTTGGGTTCCCAGCAGCAGCAGGAGCAGCAATAGGTCAGGCTGGTGGGCCGGCGGAAGCTGGGGGCGGCCGCTCTCCTCTGTCCAGTAGCGGCGTCGTGGCGGGAGACGGGGAGCACTGGGCGAGGGGGGGGATGAAGCAAATGTAGGCGCTAAAGCAGTTGTACAGAGCGGGGTTGGGGGGGACAGAGGGGTGCTGTGGGCGGAGGAGCCAGATGTCAGCCCCGGGGCCTGTGCCCAGACCACGGAGGAGAGGGCGGGAGGGGCAGAGGCCCCGGGGAGGTCTGGCCAGGTGGCTTCCAGGTGTTCTGGCAGCTTCTATCACCCCCCGCTTCCCGCCACCCACTCCCCCGCAACACCCCCACATGGCCTGAGGTTTCAGGGAGCAGTTTTGTTTTGTCTTCTGTGTGTGGCCAGGACACAACAT